TGACAGTACGCGGAGTACGCTACATAACAGTACGCGCAGTACGCTACGTGACAGTACGCAACGTTTGGTAAACGATAGGCAGTACGCACAGTACGTCACGCTACAGTACGCAACGTTTGGTATACGATACGCTAAGCAACAGTACGGTATACGCGACAGTACGCTGTGTGTGGACACGAGGTTATTTTTACGGTTTTACGATACGGTGGACGCGACGCGCTAGGACAGACTACGCGACGATACGCATACGGTACCTGCCATCTTGCGCTTTTGCGCCCGCTTGTCCTCGTCACGCAGTTTGCGCTCGGCCCCCTAATTTGCATAATTTAGAAGGGTTTTTGAAGTTTTGAATTTTGTTATCTTACAGGCTACCGTATACCCTAATTTGCATATTTTAAGCATCCCTGAATTTAGTATTTGCAGAATTTAAAAATCTACAGTATGTCGCGCATGAAATTTATCGTAATTTGCGGATTTTTATGTACTTAATTTTTTAGCAATTTTAAAGGATACCGTATCCTAATTTGCATATTTTTGACGATTTTAATATTTTCTTAAATGCCGATTTCTCAAGGCTACAGTATACCATAGGTTAAAAAATTTTAAACACACCCACAGACAGACGGAATCACATTTTAAAGGCTTCGGGAAGCCAAAATTTACAAAAATGGCGCGCTTCTGATCGCTCACGAAAATTTAATAGAGCTATATGCTAATATTTATCGAATTTCCATAGCCGTTTTGATTTGCCAATGCCTTTAAAATGATTTTCTATGCGCTTTTTAGCACTTCCCAGACTTGCCGCGCGCTTTAGACTACCGTATCCATTTTGTATATATTTCTTTGCATTCTTTTCCATTCCCCATCCTTTTCCTTTCTGAAAATGTTTGAATAGGGGACGGGGGCACAGATTCGACGCCCCCAATTTTCACTTTCCACAGATCCGCCCGGCGCACACAGCCAGCGAAATGGGGATGACCCAAATTCCGCCACTTTTACGCTCTCTCTGCTTCTCTCGCTCTCTCTTTCTCTCTCTCTCTCTCTTACACCCTCTCGCTCTCTCTCTCTCTCTCTCTCTCTCTCTCTCTCTCTCGCCAGAAAGCGACCCTTTTCAGTGGGCCGAAGATGAATGGGATATGCCAAAATTGGAGGGTATAAGGACGGTGGAGTACTATGAACGGTTACGGAATTGGGTACTGTAACGTAACTTGGCGGGCTAGCTAACGGTGATTCTTTGCCTACGCAAAAAAATTACTAGGAACCTCAGGGGACTGGGCAAGCTAGCGGTGATCATTGCGGGACCTGGAAAGGCAAGCTAGCAGTGATCGTTTGGGAAGAGAATACCTCATTCGAAGCCCGGCAAGCTAGCAGAGACCCTTTAGGAAACTTGTCCGCTTTAGGGCGGGTAGCAGCGTCATTTCTTTGCGGAATTCTACAAGTACGAGCAAGCTAGCAGAGATGCTCGCGAAATTTCTACCAACAGGGCAAGCCGGCAGGGATTCTTTGCCAAATTCGCCAAGCCCCGGGGCAGCTAGCAGCGTTTATTTGCGAAATCTTAACCCTTCAGGGCGAACTAGCAGCGTTCCTTTGCGGAATTTCCACCCCAGTACAACCTAGCTAACTTACCGCGGAAGGCTAACAGAGATATTTGCGGGGGCCCGAAAACCCGAGGCAGGGCAAGCTAGCAGAGACCATAGCGGAATTTTAACTATCAGGGCAAGCTAGCAGCGTTTCTTTCCGCAATTCGTCAGGCCCGGGCCAGCTAGCAGGGTTTCGTTGCGAAAGTTCAACCCCAGGACAATCTAGCTAACAGAGAGAGAGAGAGAGAGAGAGAGAGAGAGAGAGAGAGAGAGGGAGAGAGGAGCGAGAGAGATAGAGAGAGAGAGGGAGAGAGAGGCTAGAGAGATCTTTGCGGAATCGGAAAACCGGGGTCCCGGCAGGCTAGCAGAGACCGTAGCGGAATTTTGATCCCAAGGCAAGCTAGCAGCGTTTCTTTGCGGAATTCTTTAAAGCCAATCCCCCCGCGCGTGCTAAAAGGCATCTCCGTTCGGAAAACTTTCTCCTCGCAGCAGCCCATCCGATTTCAGAGCCCAGCACATAGCTCTCTGTGACCCACAAAAAATGGGGAAAGCGAGAGAGAGAGAGAGAGCGAGAGAGAGAGAGAGCGGGTGGGAGGGAGAGAGGGAGAGAGAGAGAGCGAGAGAAAAAGACAGCAGATCCCCGGGTCTGACTGGGCATTTATGCTGCGCGCTGAGCGCATAGGTAATTTTCAGAGGCTGGCGGGGAGAACGATTTCTCTACCGTACCCCCTCCCTTTAGTATTGCTTCCGTCTGGAAAGTGGAAAGGAATGAAAAAAAATCGGTTTTCTGCGAGATTCCTATGAACGCATGGGTGTTCGGAGTATCGATGCGGAAGAACGGGAGATTCAACTCCAAATTTAAAGGGGTTTGGCAGGCTAGAAACTAGATTACAACCGCTAAAATTTAGAGCGCTTATTTTGCCTAAAAAGAAGAAATTAAATTGAACCTTAAAGGTTCGAAAAAGCTAAAAAAATTAGAATTACCTCAAATTTGGAATAGGGTAGTTTAAAAAAGAGCGGACAGACAGACCAACAGATTTTTTACGAAAAAATACTTTTTGATCCATTTTCAAGCTAAATTAACGATTTAAATCATTTAAATCAAGTAAAACCGAGGCAAAAAAAAATAAGAAAAATCGTACCTTATCGCAAAAGACCTTAATCTGGCAGTAGCCGCGGTGGAATGGCCGTTGATTTGCGTCGTCCTCATCGTACGTGTCGATTTGCACGTGGAGGGGGAGGCCCTGGAAAGTTGAATTAATAAAAAAAGGTAAGGAAGTAAGAATTTATCTCACTCGCTCTCTCTCTCTCGCTCTCACCTTTACGCCCTTCTGATTTGAAAAGTCGGTAGAGAGGCACTGGACGGCGATGCAGATCTGCAAATAAAAACAATTATTTTGTTTTCTTCGTGAATTTTTTACCGAAAGGATCCCTGCTAGCCTACTCTTTCCTAAAGAGTCTCTGCTAGTTTCTCTTCATAATCCCTTTAAAACGCAATTCCATCTGGTCCCCCAGTTAATAATCTCAAACGAGTTGAAAATGGAAAGCTGAGCCTTGAGGTCCCCCCAAGGCTGACGGGGGTGAGATTCGATCTTGAGCGTCTCTATAATCTTCGGCCGATCGACAGATTACAATCTTATTTTCACACTAAGGCAAGGTGGCAAGCTAGCAGAGATTATTTAGGAACGGTAGGCTAGTGGAGATTCTTTAGGAAAAGGCAGGCTAGCAGAGATTCTTTAGGAAAAGTAGGCTAGCAGAGATTCATTAAGAAATTCGAAGATAACATAAATCCTTTAGAAAATCATTGTTTTTCTCTGACTTCTCGAGGCTCCCGAATTTCCTATCGTAATTCATTCGAGAGCAGCCGCTCGAGATAGCTGATGCTCCCCCTCAAAATTGCCCCATTTCCAGCAGCCCAAGAGTGATAAATTTCGGCTCCCGGGGAGTGCGAGATTTTGATGATCAGCTCGGGAGGCCGTAATTTGCATCCCGGTGAAATAATTGAGGATGAGGGAGAAAGCGAGAGAGAGAAGAGAGAGCGAGAACGATAAGCTACAGTACGCTAAGGTACGCTTCAAAAAGACACTACGCCAAGCTACTACGCATCGGCAATACGCTAGTCTACGCTAAAATACAGTTGACGTCAAAATCCGCTAGGCTACGCAACAGTACGTATACATCGTGCGCAAAAGTACGCGAGAATACGCACTTTCCCCAAATCTTTCAGCAAATTCTGCCTAACCAGTATCTTTAAAATAGGTTCGCAGGAAATTGAGAGAGTACGCTAAAATACACGTTTTTCGCGAAATTTTCCATATTTTGGCCTTTCCGGTCCCTTTAAAATGGTCTCTCGCCGAACTTTAGGGATTTGACTACACTTCACTCCTCTTAACGTCCCATCGAGCGTCATGTGGGGGCGATTTCGGCCCTTCAAATCCCCCCGGGCCGGGCTTTCAAATCGTCTGTCTGGCTGCCTGTTCGTCTGTTCGTCCGTTTGTCTGTCTGTCCACCCATCCATCCGCTAATACCAGGGGGGGATGGCTGGGAAATAGGTCAAGCCCATAGCCTCGAAAATTGCCCATTGTCCAGCGGCCAGCACACAGCCCCTGGGCCCAATGCGGTGGAATTTTCGCTGCGGTCGGCAGCGCATTAATGGGAGACTAGCAGAGACCATTTGGGAAATTAGATGGCAGGCTAGCAGCGATTATTTAGGAAAGAACAGGCGGGCAGAGATCCTTTAGGAAAAGCGCCGGCTAGCAAAGATTCTTTAGGAAGGGGTAGGCTAGCAGAGGTTCATTAAGAAAAGGGCAGGCTAGCAGAGAGCGTTTGAGGAAAGAAGGGGCAGGCTAGCAGGGATTCTTTAGGAATGGGCAAGCCAGCATAGATAATTTAGCACTACACTTTTTAGGGCCCTAGGCAAACTAGCAGAGATCATTTAGGAAGGTCTAACAAGGCATTGTAAGGCATGCAAGCTGAGACACTTTAGGATTTTCAATTTCCAGGGTCAGCCAGCAGAGATCTTTTAGGAATTACATGCCCGACCCTGTTGAATATGAAGATCATCTACAACGTCAGGGCAAGCTAGCGGAGATTTTTAAGGAGGTTGAGCCAGCAGAGACTTTTGCGGAAATTTCAAACTCACAGCACCTAGCTGAGATTTTTAGAGAAAACACTAGAAATTGTATTTTTTTACAATCTAACATTTTCATGCCCTTTTTACGCCGCGGTGGACAGCGAGACAAACAAAAACAAACAGACAGCAAAACACCCCCGAACACCTCGAGCCAGACCGGATTTTTGTCGGCCGCTCGCTCGCCCCCTGGTTGACGTTGCAAAACTGGTCTGCCACAGCTGACCGCCAGAGGAGCAAAGCGGAATTGACGCCCCAGCCTTGGTTTTTTAAACCTTGACCCGCTGGCTGACCGGCTGGCAGGGTGCCAAAATCGCAAAAATTGGGAATTTTAGGGAACTGGCGTTAAAACATTCTAAACCCGCAGAAAAGGACAAAATTAAAGGGTTGGCAAAGAAGTAAAATTGAGGCAAAAACCAGCAAAAATTACGTTAAATGATTTTTAAAGGGCTCGGAAAGGCAAAAAATGCCAAATATCGGTTGGGAAATGTAAATTACGCAAACTACGACTGGGAAAATGCGAAAATCCTTACGGTCCTAATAGCTACAGCCAAAATCCTGATATATCAAAATCCCGACCGCCCAAAACACCGACATGCAAAATAGCTGGTTAAAAGGAAGTGGCATGCAAACGAGCCCAGAATAGGTCGGGATTTTGTTCTGTCGGGATTTCGGATTGTCGGGATTTTAGCCTGTCGAGATTTTGCGTGTCAGGATTCTGTTCCTCGCGATTTTGGCTGGAATTCCGTTGGGAAGGCAATGAACGTCGAAAAAGATTACGAGATATGCAAAATTCCGGCGGTTTCCGAAGAACGGACGGGCTGCCAAGGTGTCAAAATTGAAAAAAACGAGCTTTTAAAGGATTATTGAAAGCAGGCTAGTCGGCAGCGAGAGAAAGAGAGAGAGCGAGAGAGAGAGGGTGAGAGACAGAGAGCATGAGATAATGACCTAATTTACATAACCCCAATCATACGCCAAGAAGCACGAACCTTGACCGGAGATTCGGTGGGGTTCCACAAAAACTCGTAGGCGTTGTTGGCCTTCTCGGTGATCGGGGACGTCATCCCGGTGCTGTTCTTCAGGTCAATCTGCAAAAAAAGAAATAAACATTTGAAAACTTTACTTGATTTTCCGTCCGATTTTCAGCCTTTCCAGCCCCTTTAAAAAGCCAAAAGCCGAATTTATAGCGTAATTTTCTACGTTAAAGGGAGCGTGCCACCACGTTTCTGCCGTATTTTAACGTCTTCTGCGTTTTTAAATTAAGTTTTGAGACTACAGAATTTCGGAAAAACCCCCACCCCCTAAAAAAGTGCGGTTCCAACAATTTCCGCTGTTCCCGCCCGCGGCGCGCGGTCCGTTTCTGTGTTTTCGCGTTCCAAAAAGAGGAGCGAGTGAGTGTGTGGGTCCTCACTTGGGCCAAAAAGAGAAAGAGGGCCCAGAAGAGGGCCCCCCGGTATTTGCAGTGTTTCGTCGCCAAACTTGCTCTCTCTCTCCCTATCTCTCTCTCTCTCCCTCTCTCTACAGTCTGGAAGGATCGCCTGAGGGACTGTGTGTGTCAGTGTTTGCCAGTGGCTTGAGACCCCGTTAGGGCCCAGTCAGAGGGCCCAAATCGCACAAAAGACCCCACGAGGACCCCGGAATCGACCGGGAAATGGGAGCAAAAGACCGAAAAAGGGGCAGGCTAGCAGCGATTCTTTAGGAGGCGGAATTTGACGCTTACTATTTCCTTTAAAAGAAGATTAACTAGAAAACGAGCAAATAAGCCGTGATTTTTGCGGCGGTTTTAAAAATTATGCAAATTCGAAAAATAGAATTCCCTATTTTAAAGGCGGCGTGACAGCAAAAAGAACATGCGGGTCCTGGCCAGCGAGCAGCGATTCTTGGGGAAGCCGAATTTTCGCGCTTCCCGAATCGCGTGAAAATTCAAGGCAAACGAGCAGAGAATATTGTGGAAAAGAAAATTTTCAAGATTCTGCGGCCCCTAAACTCAAATAAACTAGGCAAACGAGCAGAGACCATTGGGGAATCAAAGAAATTCGAAAGGCCATCTGTTTAAAGGGACCGTGACAGCAAGAAAAACGCCAACTCACATCAAGTATGCGTGCTTTTGGTGAATGTTGCCGTTGATGCCATAACCGCCACGTCTTGATCTCCTCCTCGTACGTCTTCTCGTCCCGAAACACCACCATTAGGTGCGTCTGAAAAAGAGGGATTAAATTCAAATAATTAATGCTTGTAATTTGTCTATTTCTCTCTCCCTCTCTCTTTCTCTCTCTCGCTCTGTATCTAGCTCAGCGATGGTCAGCGCTATTTGCGGGCTCTGGACGGCTATAATGGGCGAGGGAAAGCGTGACATACAAAGCTACGGTATGCGCCTACTAACGAGAGAGAGAGAGAGAGAGAGAGAGAGAGAGAGAGAGGGAGAGAGATAGACAATTACCGGGCGGGATAGCAGAGATTCTTTAGTCTTTTCCATTCATCTAGGCGAACTAGCAGAGATCCTTTCGATTTCCCGTTTTTAGGCAAGCTAGCGAAGATTCTTTGGAGCTTTGAGCGAGCTCCTGTTTGATTTTTGGTCAATAGTATTCGTCCGAAACGAGAGATCTCTAGAATAAAAGAGCGAGAGAGAGCGAGAGAGAGAACGAGAGAGAGAGAGAGAGAGAGAGAGAGAGAGCGAGTCGCAAACTGCCCCATTCCACCGGCATGTATTCCGCTGAAATCCCCCGCGAACACACCGACGCGGATCAGATAATTATTGGGGGGACAGTATGCGTGTGGTGGTGTGTGTATGCACCGATACAAATGACGCCCCGGACAGCGTGGGCAATTTAGCTATTCAATGAAAGTTTCAGTGGGAAGCGCAGAAATTTGAAAAGGTGAATATTAGCAAAGATCCTTGAGGAAAAACAGGGCAGGGTAGCAGAGATTTTTGGAAAAAATTATTCCTGATATCCAAAAAGAAGAAAGATCAAGACGAGCGCTCAGGTTAAAAGGACAAGCTCGTGGCTCCCGAGCGGCGAAATACTTCAAAAAATCTTTGAAATCAGAGCAGGCTAGCCCAAGCACCATCGGAATTCTTGTGAGACGAGAAATGGACCAAAAATGCTAAAAATGAGGCAGGCTAGCAGATATTTTTGCGGAATTTTGTGAAAACCAGGATAAAATAAATTGGCGAGGCCAGCCTAGCAGAGAACGTTGAGGAAATTAGGCAAAATGACAATTATTACAGGGCGGGCGCGCAGGGATTCTTTAGGAAAATTGTTAATCAGGCAGGGCATTTTTGATTGCATTGCGGAATTTTTCCAAAAATAATGCGAAAAGGCAGGCTAGAAGAGCCGCTTCAGGAAATAAGAGGGCTAGCAGAAATCATTTCGGAGTTTTGCAAATATAATGAGAAAATCGAAAATTGCTCCAGGCAGGCTAGCAGAGAATTTGATGGAAATTAAGCGTCTACGCGAGATCCTGAAGGAATTCTATAAAAATCAGAAATTGGTGAGGGCAGACTAGCAGCGACTCCTTACCTGAGCGGGAAAAGGGTTCAAAATGACAACAACACAGGGCAGGCCAGCAGAACAATTGAGGAATTTTGCAAAAAACGAAAATTTCCCAGGGCAGGCTTGCAGAGACTTTTTAGGAACTAAGAGGACTAGCAGGGTTTATTGCAGAATTTTTCAAAAATAATGAGAAGATCGAAAAGCCCAGCGAGCAGGCTAGCAGAGATTCTTCAGGAAAATTCGACAAAAAACAACACCAACCTTGACAATCTGGCTCTTCAACGGCTTGAGGGGGTCGGGGATGTAGTCGAGGGTTACGGTGTAAAATTGTCCCTTGTTGACATATGTCATTCGATCGTCATCTTTTCGAATTGACGTCGAGATGGGCGCCTCGAGCACATACTGGAAGCCGAGGGTGTTATGCCTGAAAAAAATCAATTTAAAACTCAATAGTAGTACGTTCACAGTATTCAAGCGCCCTTTTACGTGGATTTCTGACTTCTAGGTGCCTTGAATAAGGTAAACTAGCAGGATTCTTGATAAAATCTAATTTTCACGCTTGCCGACTCCTTTAATTTAATCGATAGAAAGGTCAGCGAGCAGAGGTTCTTGAGGAAAATTTTTTTACGGCTTCCAGACTCCTTTATAACCATAAATTCGAGGCGAGCGAGCAGAGATTCTTCGGAAATTCTATTCTCAGGCGTCCCAACACTTTAGTTTGAAAGATCGAAAGACCAGCGAGCAGAGATCCTTGAGGAAACAATTTTTTGGCTTCCGACCCCTTTAATCCCATAAATCCGAGGCAAACGAGCAGAGATTCTTACGGAAATAATTTTTTTTGGGCTTCCTGACCCCTTTAATCCCATAAATCCGAGGCAAACGAGCAGAGATTCTTGCGGAAATAATTTTTTGGCTTCCGGAGCCCTTTGTAACCATAAATTCGAGGCGAACGAGCAGAGATTCTTGCGGAAACGTGATTTTTGCTGGTTCTCGGTCCCTTTAAGGTGGGCGAGCTAGCAGTGACCTTTTCGGAAGCCGAGCGACAATCCGAAAGCGATCCAGAGGCCGCTGAGCAGAGATTTTTGCGACATCTATAGCTTCACCATCCCTTTAATGGTCATTTGACCCCGGCCATGACCTTGGCCCAGAGTATCAACACGGAAAATCGGGTTTCCGGAACACCCCCACGAGGTGAACAAGTCTTCTCTACCGGGGGGCGGCTGACCAAACCGGACTTCGCGGCCGGTCCCCCTCTTTTCTCGCGGGCCGGGAGGGGTCGAACCCGTTTCTACCCCTGGTTGGGTGATGCCCATAGTTGGGAGCGGGAGGTGGAGGACGAGGTGAAAATATGTTTTTCTCTCGCGCTGTCTGTCTCTCTCACTCTCTCGTTCCCTCGCGCTGTATCTCTCTCCCTCTCTTGCTCGAGAGCCGCGAAAACACGGGGAGTCCCACTCTCGTCCGAACTATCTATCTCTCTCGCTCTCTCTCTCTCTCTCTCCCTCTCTCGTCGAGAATCGATCGGTACGGTGTCCCTGAATCAGGGACGCTGCGCCCAAAATGACAAACAGTGAGCGCGAGCTGGTGCTCCTCTTCTCCTGCTCCTCCTCCTCGCTGTCAAGGTCACGTTGTGACAGCATTGGCGAGAGAGCGAACGAGAGAGAGAGAGAGAGAGAGAGAGAGAGAGAGAGAGCGCGAGAGAGAGAGACGAGTAGGTTTTACCGGACAATTCGCCGACTACTACTATGCGCTCCTATTGACGGGGTGCTGAATGGAATGGAATGGCTGTGGCGAGGAGATCTGGTGACGAACTGTGGTTTTCAAGGCGAAATGTCAACAAAAACACAAAAATAAGGAGATGGAGTTTAAAGGGAGTGTGACAGGGCTTTATACCTAAAGAATCTCTGCTAGTCTGCCCTCAAGAATATCTGCTAGCCTGCCCTGTCCTAAAGAATCTCTGCTAGCCTGCCCCATCCTAAAGAATCTCTGCTAGCCTGCCCTGTCCTAAAGAATCTCTGCTAGCTACCCTTTTAGCTCTTAAAGGACCATAAAGGTACAAATTCCGTTCCATTCCGTCCAAAGAACACCCATGCACGTGCGCGTGTTTTTAAGCGATTCCGGTTCCGGCGCTCCGCGTGAAGCGTGAAAGCTGCCCCCCACGGCTTCACGTCACGTTTTGGGTGAAACCGGATTTTTTGGGTTGTGTTGCTGTCTCGAAATGGGAGCCTCGGGTCGGCTGAGTCAGTATTTGTTGTTGTTTTTTGAGATGAGGGCAGGCTAGCAGAGTTTCCTTAGGAAAGGGCAGGCTAGCAGGGATTCTTTAGGAAAGGCATGCTAGCAGGGATTCTTTGGGAAATGGGCCAGCCCAGCTAGGCAGGCTAGCAGCGATTTTTGAGGAACACTAACTCCGCGCAACTGGAAAACTAGCAAAGATTTTGCGGAATTCTCTCTTCCTTCCTCTAGTTGTCACCACCCCTTTAATCCTAGCCATTCCCACGCCAATTCCGGCCATTTGGGCTCGCCGCCAAAAAATCCGGTCTTTTGACCATGGCGGCTCCCGGGTGGGGTCCGATTACCGGTTGTGTTCGAGCGAGGAGGATGAAACTAGTCTACGCAACGGGACTGGGGTCGCGAAGTCAAGGAAAAACCCGAAAAGCCCGGGAATGGAGCGTTTAAATAGAGAGAGAGAGAGAGAGAGAGAGAGAGAGAGA